GAAGGGGGGAAATGTAGAACCTGGGTGTCATGCTCCCTGGTCAGATATCCTTACCATTTAGTTATGGGGCTAAAAGAAGGAAGAGACTTTTCTTTTACTCTTCCATGTTACGTCCTGCAAGCACACATACATACCCCAGCAAGCCTATCTGCTAATACAAGAAATATTTACATGCAAATTATTTTATTCATCATGAATATTTTCACTGAGACCAATGCGGCTGCTAATTACAATATCCATGACTGAAATTATTTACATTCATACATGTTTCTAAGATTGGGGCCATTGACTGTAAATCTCTTCAAGGCTGTGAAGATGTCTCTGAGCATAGTTCTACTGAGTCAAATGTTGCACTTTTTGGGTAAGCAGGTTAGTCTTAACTCGCCTGGTTAAGACCAAAGTTCTTGTTTAAGGTATAACAAATATCTGAATATAACTTTGTAACCTGTAAACAATTAAATTAATCAAAAGGACATTCAAATTGCTCCTAAGAAATCAACAATAATCCTTTTTTGTGCACAATGGGATCATTGTTGAATGGAGGCACGTACCCTACACTGAAGAACCTAGCTGAAAAGATGGCCAAATATGGGGTTGTAAGATTTTGTGAAAAACCAAGATGAACAAAAATTTCCAATGCAGACAGCAATCCTGTTGTGAGGAATATGTTCAGATAGTCAAAGAAAATCAATATGCTGACCCCAGGAACATAAATAATACTAAGTAGGAAAACAGAAATATCTGGTGAACAAGTACGTTTTTGTCTGGTCTATAAACTGAAAACATAATTGCTTCTGAGGAAAGGCTAATCAATAACTTATAATCTCTGCTGTTTATTTTTCTTTCAAAAATTACTTTCACAAAGAACATCCTTTGGGAATAGTTAATTAACTGTAGAGGTCAAAGTTAAGTCTTTTCTCATTTTTTGCCTCACCACAAAGGAGAAATAAAATATACTGGTAGAAAATAAAAATAGCTTCTTTTTTCCTAATCACTATTTTGAAAAAAAAAGACCTGTGAATACTATAAAAATTGTCCTGGTTCTTTGTGCCTATTCTAATAACCTTCAAATTTCTTCAAATGCAACACACTTATTTTAAATGTCATCAGAGGTTATTTATTTTTTATTCTGATATCTTTTTTTAAAATAAATCAACTGAAAGGGGAAAGAATCATTGTTGTTTTTCTTTAGTTTTTTTCTGTGCTTGCTGCTGCTTTTTAGTTCCATGTGTTTTTTTGGTTTGATTTTTTTCCTCCAGCCCCTAAAGGTATTTCCAAAGATGTGCTGAAAGAGAAGATGGGTTGGAAGTGTCAGTCAGTATACTTACTTATTCCCTGTAGGGCTCCCCCTAGCATCTGAGCATCTATAACAGGGTTGAAATTTGGAGCAGGGAAGATTGTTCCTTGTATCTGCTAAAAGGGAAAGAGAACAGTAGTTTAAGTGTTATTTGCAACTGATCTTCCAGCACAATGCAGGACCATGCCATAAGTAAAACTTACATGAAAAACAACTACCATCAGATTTTATAAACCATTACCATTCCTAATAGCAATGTATGCCTTTCTTTGACCATGTAGGAAGCATTTTCCTTTCCTTTTTTGTGTCCCTGTGAAAAGGTATTTAGCAGAATTTGCAGCCATTCCTGGTAGATATTTGTCTAAACTGCTTTGAAAACCTCCTGTGATGGAGATTCCACAAACACATTGCATTGTAGTGCTTCACTATCCAAAGGATCCCTCTAGACAGTCAGGCAAAGGCATGGTAGGATCTGAAGCGTGTTCCATATAATCAGGCTTCCTGCTATAACACACATCTTTTTTTTGATACAGGAGAAGCCTGGAACCACCATCCTGGGTTTCCCCTGCACAAGCAAATAAAAATTCTTGCAGCTGTGAGTCCCACCATGGGGCACCCTGGGACTGAGAGGCCACAGCGGTGGGACTCTTGGTCCTGGAGACTATGGGGCATTGCCAGGGTACAGAGTCCACAGCTTCAGGACTCTGAATCCTGGCTGCACTGCTGGGAGGGAACATCCCCTCAGTTGCAGGACTCCCAGCCCTGGCTGTGCATGGTGCATTCTCATTGCTTGGAGCCTGGTTAGTTGCTGGGCCTCTCAGCCACAGGTGCAGATCCTGCTACAAAGGCAAATTAAAGCTGGATAGCAACCAGCTATAAAGTTAGTACACATTTTTGAGGTCTAACTTTATGACTGATTGGACCTTTTAATGGCCTGATAGGTACTTTGATTGTGTAGGTGGTCTCAGTTAATTGTGCAGTTAATACAGTGGTGGACAAAATATGGCCCATGGGCCAGATCCGGCCCACAGGGCCCCTTAAAAATTTAGAAAATTAATATTTATCTGCTCCTGGTTGCCTGTCAAAGACAACAGGAGCCAGGGGCAGCAGGACCTGAGGGAGCCTCAGCAGGAATACAGCAGCCCAGCCCTGCCCCACCCCCAGCCATTGCCCTGCCCTCCTGCCCCTGCACCATATGGCTCCAGCACCATATGGCTCCTGACTGCGTTGCTGAACTGGGAACATGGGCCGCACTGGTCCCCAGGGGTAGAGGGGTGCAGTGTGTATAGGGAGTGAGTGAGTGTGAGTGAGTGTGTGTGTGTGTGTGTATTTGTAGGGTGAGTCCCACATGCACACCCCACCATACAAATGCATCCACACCCCCTTGCACTGCCATACACGCAGAATCCCAAACCCACACTCCCTCACACACCCCAGCCACCCTTCCCCTGCACAGCTCCCCACAAACCCCATACCCACCAACACCTCACATATCCACACCCCCCACATGCTCCCTCATCCCACATCTAAAGTAGGGAAACAATGACAGTAGGTGTCCT